AGCCTTAAACCATATGATTAAGCCTGGTCAGACTTTGTGAACGGCTCCGGCTTCGAATGGAGAAATGATCATGCTCCATTTTTCCCGCCAGAAGGGAGACTCCACCCACTTCTGACATCACAGGTAGTCCCCAGCCAATGAGAGCCAGTCAGGGGAAGGCGTGGGTCTTTTGAATGAGCATCAAAGGGGATAAAACGCCTTGCACTGCATTGTATGGTGATGTCCAATTCCTTTAGAGTTCAGGCTCTGCATCAGACATCCTTTCAGGCCCGACAATGAATAACCTCCGTCTGTTGCCTTCAAACCCAGTCTGCGTTTCATCAGTGGGAGGATAGAGCCGGGTTTACTATACAATTCCCAATGGACAGGCAATATCTATCAGGATGCAACGAAGATGGGAAAAGTCACTGAAACTAATCAGAAATGTCCCTTACCATTGCCAGCAACGACGGCTTCGCCCCGAGGACAGTCGCTCTGGTGGTAACACAGGGCATCTGGAATGCCAGCACTCTGTTGAGAGGGGAAATAATGACAAATATTAATATTAATAACTAGCTGTACCTGCCATGCGTTGCTGTGGCCAACCTTCCCTCCCTCTTTTTCTCCTTCTTTCCCCCCTTCCTTCACTCCCTCTTTTCTTCTTTTCTTCCATTTTCTTATTTCCTTCTCTCCTTCCTTCCCCCTTTTTCCTTCCCTTTCTCTCCTTTCTTCCTTCTCTACCTCTCCCCTTCCTTTCTTTGTTTCCATGCTTCCTTTTCTCTTTCCTTCTTTTCTTCCCTCCCTCTTTCTCTCCCATCCAGTCCACCCCCCAACTCGCCAGTCAGGAAGACACAATCAAAGAACTCCCAATAACGTCACTTATATTACTCTTTCCTTCCTTTTTCTTTTCCTTCCCTTTCTCTCCTTCCTTTGCTTTTTGCTTCCATCCTTCCTTCTGTCTTTCCTTCCCTCCCTCTTTCTCTCCTTTCTTTCCTCTCTCCCTCTCTCCCTCCTTCCTTCGTTCCCCCTTTCCTTCCTTTCTCATTTTCTTTCCTTCTCTACCTCTTTCTTTCCTTCCCCCTTTTTCTTTTCCTCTTTCTCTTTCCTTCTCTACCTCTTTCCTTCCTTCTTTGCTTTTTGCTTCCATCCTTCCTTCTCTTTCCTTCCCTCTCCTTTCTCTCCTTTCCCTCTTTCTCTCCTTCCTCGCTTCCTCTTTCCTTCATTTCTTTTTTCCTTTCTTCTCTCCTTCCTTTCTTCTCTGCCTCTTTCCTTCCCCCTTTTTCTTTTCCTCTTTCTCTTTCCTTCCTTCCTTCTTTTTGCTTCCTCCTTCCTTCCTTCTTTCTTTCTTTCTTTCTTTCTTTCTCTTCTTCCTTCGCTCCCTTTCATTTCCTTTCTTTTTTCTTTCCTTCTCTCCTTCCTTCTTTCTCTACCCGTTTCCATCCCTTTTCTTTTCCTCTTTTTCTCCTTTCTTCCTTCTCTACTTCCTTCCTTCCTTCCTTCCTTCCTTCCTTCCCTTTCCTTCCTTCTTCCTTTCTTTCTTTCTTCTTTCTTCTTTCTTTCTTTTCTTTTTTCTTTCTCTCCCTCCTTCCTTTTTTATTAGCTTTTCGGGATCAGTACAATATTAACACTTTTTTTGTGGGGGGGGGGTTATGAGTGATGGTCACTAATTGGTCACTTAGGGGTGTAGTGTCCGAATTTGGTGTCATTTCATCCAGTGGTTTTTGAGTTATGTTAATCCCACAAACGAACATTACATTTTTATTTATATAGATCAATAGTCAATAATTAGTCAATAATTGATCATTGATACAATAATTTAAAATAATCCAAAGTCAATTACTATCAATAATAGTCAATGATCAATAATATGTACCAATAATTAATAATTAATATCAATTATTCATACTTTATTATTATTATTTCACTCCTTCTTTCCTCCTCTATGCACCCCTTGTCCTCAATTACTTCCCTATTATTATCGTCGTCATCGTCATTATTTCATTCCCTCTACACAATAATTTCATTTTAATGATAACTTCAATATTATAATCTATCTATATAAATAAAAATGTCATGTTCGTTTGTGGGATTAACATAACTCCAAAACCACTGGGGGAATTGACACCAAATTTGGACACAAGACACCTAACAACCCAATGTATGTCCTTCACTCAAAAGAAATGATTTTGTCATTTGGGAGTTGTAGTTGCTGGGATTTATAGTTCATCTACAATCAAAGAGCATTCTGAACCCCACCAACGATGGAATTAAACCAAACTTGGCACACAGTTCTCCCATGACAACCAGAAAATACTGGAAGGGTTTGGTGGGCAGTGTCCTTTGGTTTTGGAGTTGTAGTTCACCTACATCCGGAGATCACTGTGGACTCAAACAAGGATGGATCTGGACCAAACTCTACACGAATACTCAATATGCCCAAATGTGAACACTGGTGGAGTTTGGGGAAAATAGAATCTTGACATTGTAGTTGCTGGGATTTATAGTTCACCTACAATCACAGAGCATTCTGAACCCCACCAACGATAGAATTGGGCCAAACCTCCCACACACAACCCCCATGTGGGCCACAGCAACGCATGGCAGGGGACGGCTAGTAATATAATAAGTATTATTATTATTATTATTATTATTATTATTATTATTATCATCATCATCATTATCATTATCATAATTATTATTTCACTCTTTCCTCCTCTATGCACTTTTTGCCCTCAATAACTTCCCTTTGATGATATGGCCCAAAGGGACTTGCCAACATTCTTTGGGCTATGACGTTGTTGTTGTTGTTGTTGTTGTTGTTGTTGTTGTTTACTGTGGGAAGCAATGCAACATACCTCTGGGCAGGTACTCTGCCACTGGTTTGGGGTGACGATAAGGTTAGTCATGACAAAGAAGACGCTTTCGCCCTAAATAAGAAGGAACCAGAGGGAGAAAAATAATAATATTAATTTCAAATTATATTATTTTTTATATTATTTTGTTTTTTCCCACCGTTCACCAATTTAAGAGAGGGAAAAAAGCAGCATGTAGCGGTAATAAACATAATTACATTTACCTATTGGTGTTTTAATCTTTCTTCTATTTTTTTTATTTGATGTTATATTTTTATATTTTATATAATTATATTATTATTATTGTTATTATTTTATTTTATTATATGTAATGTTATGATGTTATTATAATTTTATTATATATTAGAATATAACATAACATTATAATAACAATATAAAATACAATAATATCTAATAATATATAATATCAAATTATAATAAATAAAAATAAATATAATACAAATCATTGTTACAATTTATATCATTATATTATTATATATTAAATTATTATTGTGTTGTTTTATATTATATAATAAATATAATAAATTATGGAATTATTATAAAATAAGAATATTGTAATAACAATATAACATACAATAATAGTATCTAATAATATATAATATCAAATTATAATAAAAATAAATATAATACAAATAATTGTTACATTTTATATCATTATATTATTATATACTATATTATTATGTTATTGTTTTATGTTATATACTAATTATAATATTTATAATTATAATAAAAATAAAAATAATACAAATAATTGTTACATTTTATATCATTATATTATTATATACTATATTATTATGTTATTGTTTTACATTAAATACTAAATATAATATATATAATAAATTGTAATTATAAAATAATAATAAATTGTAATTATACTTTATATTCTTATTATATGATTTATTTTATGTATTATATTATAATTTGTTATTTATTACATTTTATATTTTTATTATTATTAGATATTGTATTTTATATTATTGACTATTATTATTTATTATAATATTATACTATATATTACAGGATTATATATTATTATTGTATTATAATATATAATACTGTAATATATAGTATAATATTATAATAAATAATAATAGTCAATAATATAAAATACAATATCTAATAATAATAAAAATATAAAATGTAATAAATAACAAATTATAATATAATACATAAAATAAATCATATAATAAGAATATAAAGTACAATAATATCTAATGCTATAATATATAATAAATCATGATATGATGTAAAATTATAATAAAAATATATAATATAACATTTAGTGATGTTAATATAAAATATCTAATAATAATAATATAAACATAATATAATATATAATAATAATATAATAATATGATTTAAATTATAACAATTATTATTACACAATGTCCCAAAATTTGTAAAAATGTTCTGTTCCTGGTTTGCCCATGTTTTCAGGGTAGGACCAAGGATCGCCCAGGAACAAACATAGTGTGGCTTAGTGATATCAGCGGAGGAGCACCGATGTCCACCCGAAGCGGGTCTTTTGCTTGGCCAGCGGCTCTTAGTTGCCTATTTTGGGACCAAAGTGTTGCTTGGAGCCCTCCCTTGGGCCTGGGGGAAGCGGCTGTTGCACAGCATGCTAAGCACCATCTCTGGTCCTGCGTGGCCTACCTGTGGTGGCACCACGTAGTCGGCCACGTCCCAGAGGCGCTCTCCCATCCCGGAGGAGTTGGTGAAGGCCACCCCCTTGACCTTGGTGATGACCGAGCTCTGGATGGAGGCGTCCACCTCCTGGTAGCCCTTCCTGGCCACAAAGACCCACCTGAGGAAAGGAAGAAGGGAAGGAAATAGGAATGGAAGGAGAGAGGAAGGAAAGGAAGGGAAAGGAAAGGAAAGAGGGAAGGAGGGATAGAAGGGAGGAAGGAAGAAAAAGGAAAGATTTATTTATTTGTCGTGTCAGAGCAGCCAGTCCATTATATTACATTTCTAACAGAACAAAGCAAACAAACAGAAAAATACACAACTTGTGAGTTTGGTAGCTGGTTAATGGAGGGAGGGAAAAGAGAGAAGGAAGGAAGGAGGAAAGGAAGGAGAAAGAGGAAGGAAAGGAAAGAGGGAGGGAAGAAGGAGGAAAAGAAAGAAAAGAAGGAAAGATTGAAGGAAGGAGGAAGGGATGAAAGAAGGAAGAAGGGAGGGAGAGAGCAAGAATAAGGAAAGAGGAAGGGAAAGTGAAGGAAGGAAGGAGGAAAAGGGATAGAAGGAAAGAGGAAGGAAAGGAAAGAGGGAGGAAAAGAAAGAGGGAAGGGGGTATAGAAGGAAGGAGGAAGGGATAAAGGAAGGAAGAAGGGAGGGAGGGAGGAAGAAAAAGGAAAGAGGGAGGGATGGAAAAGAGAGAAGGAAGGAAGGAGGAAAAAAAGGAGAAAAAGGGATAGAAGGAAAGAGGGCAGGAGGGAAGAGGGAGGAAAGGAAAGAAAAGAGGGAAGGGGGTATAGAAGGAAGGAGGAAGGGATGGAGGAAGGAAGAAGGGAGGGAGGGAGGAAGAAAAAGGAAAGAGGGAAGGATGGAAAAGAGAGAAGGAAGGAAGGAGGAAAAAAAGGAGAAAAAGGGATAGAAGGAAAGAGGGCAGGAGGGAAGAGGGAGGAAAGGAAAGAAAAGAGGGAAGGGGGTATATTTTTATCAATATATTTTATTTTTATTATTATATATTATTATTTTATTTTTTATTATCACATTATTTTATTTTTATTATCATATATATTATCACCATATAACTTTATTTTATTATTATTATTATCAATATCATCATATATTATTTTATTTTTATTATTATATATTATTATTTTATTTTTATTATATATTATCAATATTTTCACATTATTTTATTTTATTATATTATTTTATTTTATCTATCATATATTATTTTATTTTTATTATTATCATATATTATTTCATTTTTATTATAGATTACCAATATTATCACCATATAATTTTATTTTATTATATTATATTATTTTTATCAATATATTTTTACTGCCAAGAACAGGTAAAAATGCTATTCATAGATGGTTATAGTTAGTTATAGAAGGAAGGAGGAAGGGATGGAGGAAGGAAGAAGGGAGGGGAGGAAGGAGAAAAGGAAAGAGGAAGGAGGAGAAAGAGGAGGAAGGAAGAGGAAAAAAAGGAGAAAAAGGGATAGAAGGAAAGAGGGCAGGAGGGAAGAGGGAGGAAAGGAAAGAAAAGAGGGAAGGGGGTATAGAAGGAAGGAGGAAGGGATGGAGGAAGGAAGAAGGGAGGGAGGGAGGAAGAAAAAGGAAAGAGGGAAGGATGGAAAAGAGAGAAAGAAGGAAGAAAGGAGGTGTTACGATGTGTATTTTTATTCCTATAGTTGTGTGTTGTTTAGACAATAGTTAATAAAATGGTAAGTATGTAGAATTATATTTTGTTAGAGATGGTGGCTGGCTTGGCTTGCCTGGAGGATGACAGGCACCATGCAGCCTAACAGTACTAAGGGAAATAAAGGCTATTTCCATTGTGGAAAATTGGGACATTTTAAGTCTCAATGTAATCTCCTGAGAAAGGAGAAGTCCACCTTCTTCATTAAAAGAGGAAAAGCCCCTGAAAAAGAGATGGAACCCAGTGCTATAAAAGATTGCACTGAGGTGGTTCAAAAAGGGGAAAAGTTTGAAAAACAGTGTTTGTTTGTGGTACTAAACACCGTCCCAAATGACGATTTGGAACCCATCAAAATAGATGGAAACCTCTTGCAAGGATGGGGGGACACGGGCTCTGAAGTATGTGTGATCCATCCAGATATGGTACCTGAGCAATATCAAAATCCTACCTCACAAATTAGTTTGAAAGGTTTAGGGCCAGCGATTACCTCAAACGTGGTCTCTTTGCCTATAAGATATGGCAATTGGACAGGCATATGGGATTTTGCCATAAGTTCAGAGATCCCTTACACATGCCTGATTGGAAATGACCTGGCCAGAAGGATTAAGAAGATACCAGAGTCATTTAAAGAGAAATAGGACTTGACTGTAGAACAGACTGGAGAACAAAACATCCCGTGTTTACCAATCTGTCAAACTCTGGAGGAGAAACCTGAGACAAGCTCTATTACAACAGAGTTAGTTCAAGAGACGAAAGGGGAAAATGAAATTTCTAAAGAACAAAGGGCTGATGACACACTCCAGACCTTGTTTGGTACAACCCAAACTGAAAAGACGGAGTTGACCCCAGAGAAACCAAACAGATTTGTAATCAAAAATGAAGTTCTATACAGGGAAGTTTTAGACCACTGATCTAGAGCTGGAATTTTGGGGTCTTTGCCAGGAGGCAGAGACCAATTAGACTTATCAAAGAGTTCTTTTTCCCTGGCGAGACAGAGAAGCACCCAATATTTTTCCCTGATGAAAGGTCTCACCAAGTTGAAGAAAAGCCATTGAGGTTTATTAGTGATTCAGCTGAAAAGGATGCAGAGCTGCAATCATTCGCCAGCAGAGCATAAGGAAATACATCAATACAGTCATATTTATAGTAAATTCAAAGTTGCAGAGTTCAAACTTCCCACCCCGGCCTCCCTGCCGCCCTCCACCGTGATTGGATGATGGGCAAACAGCTGGGAGGCGGCCCTCCCCCCGGCGCCTCTGGACCAATCAGGAAGCTCGAGTGGTCCGTAGGATCCAATGGGAAGAACTCTGCCACCTGGCGGCAACAGCAAATCAGGAGAGAGGGAGGCAGGACGATAGAACACAAAGGAATCTGTGAATGAGACTTTAAAAGAAGGAAAAGCCATGTGGCCTGTGAGACAAAAAAACTCAAGCAGGGCTGACCTATTGTGTTTTGAGTGTTGTGAATCAACATGTGTAAAAATATCCAGATCCTTCCTGGCTGTGAGACAGGAGAACAATGAGGGCAGCCTGGGGTGCATGTTATCAATGGAAGGCAAACAGAAACAGAGGGGAAGATTTTCCCTTATCTTACTTGAAGAGTGACAAGAACTTTGCCAAACAATTCTTACTCTAATGGGCCATCTCCGAAGTTAGAAATAAGAATCCTTTCCTATTATCCATGCAAGAGTGTCTTTGGCTGGGGGGTTTCTGTAATCGCTAATGGCTTTTGTTCCTGAAGGCCAGGTGATCCCCTTACATATTTCTTTAGGGGGAGAATGGGGCAAAGGGTCAGGCTAGGGTCAGGAACACAAGGAAACATAGAAATCATATAGAGATTATACACAGGGGAATCATATGCAGGTACCTTCCCATCCAGGTCCCCAGAGAGGAATTAATAATAACAATAATAAAATGCAAACGATATCATGACACAGCATGAATTCATAAGTTGTCTTGAAGAAAGTTCATGGGTAGAGAGCGAGTCCTTGAAGAGAGTGAAGTCCAGGAAGGTAGCAGAAATCAAAAAGCCACCAAAAGGAGTCTATGGAGTTCCACTGGGCCAAAACACAAAGCCCTGCAGCGCTGGGATGGAAGCCGGTCCCATGGTCCTTGGAAAACTGTAACTCTTTCCATGGGCTGGAGCCCAGGGACCAATCTGCTCCCTGAAAGCCTCATGGGGTCCTTGCTGTTGTTAGTTGCATATTGACCCTATTGTGCAGTCTGGTGCCCTTGTCCTTTGCAGAACTATAAGTTACTATCTCTTATTGGGGGGGGGCATGCTCGGTTTCACCACAAGTCTCCAGCTGCTTCTGGAGCTTTGGTACCTCAGAAGAATCGTGGGCACCTCATGCAGGTGGCACATGCCAGCCCACAAGGAGGTCACATGGGAATTAGGCGCACTATCCTGCACATTGCAAAAAACTTCTTTTGGCCTGGCATGTACCATCTGCCAGAGGATCAGTTCCGGCCAAGATAAAACAAAAGCTCAATTGATTCCCATGCCAATTATCGGCGAGCCTTTCTTTAGAGTTGGTATTGACATTGTGGGCCCTCTGCCAAAGCCAAGTTGGCGAGGCTGCAGATATATCTTAATGGTGATGGACTATGCCACTCGTTACACGGAAGCTGTGGCATTGTCAAATATAGAAACGACCACAGTGGCAAATGCTCTACTGTCCATATGGGGAAGGGCGGGGTATCCAGAGGAACTGATATCTGATTTAGGGACTCAATTCACCTCGAGGCTGATGGAGAAGTTACTGGAGCTATGCGGTATTAAACATTTAACATCCACTGCATATCATGCACAAACCAATGGGCTTGTAGAAAATTTTAACAAGACCTTGGTGAGAATGATTAAGGCCTACAGTCAGCAACATCCAAATGACTGGGATGTAAAACTACAGCAACTTCTCTTTGCCTACAGAGAGATCCCTCAAGAAAGCAGTGGATACAGTCCGTTTGAGCTACTATATGGCATGCATGTATGAGGTCCACTTGACCTAGTGAGAGTGTTCTGGGAGTTGTATCTGGAGCGGGAACCAGTAACCAGATACCTCCAGGATCTTCAGTCCACGTTGGAGACGGCAAGGAACATTGCCAAAGACAATATGGCAATGGCCCAGCAGAAGCAGAAGTCGAGATATGACCTGTCATCACAATGCAGAAGTTTCAACATAGGTGATGAGGTCCTCTATCTCACCCCGGCAAAGTCCAATAAACTTCAGTTAGACTGGACTGGTCCATGGAAGGTGACCAAGAAACACAGTAGTGTCAACTACTTGATCTTTGATGAACAGACTGCTATTGAAAGACTGGTGCATGTTAATATGTTGAAACCCTATGTAAATAAGACTGCAAATGTATATATGGTTATAACTGGTGAAACACAGTAGTGTCAACTACTTGATCTTTGATGAACAGACTG